TTATGTGACCCTGGTATATGGTATCTCTTTTGTGAAATTATAAAATAAAATTTGTATACCTATTTGTCTGTTTCTTCGTTTATTTCTTCTAAACGAAGCAGTAGCTTTTGATGCGGGTTGCATTGTCGTTTAGTTTTTTTGGATGTTTTTTTCCGGACTTTTTATGCTACTAGTAGACTATAAAATATCATTATCACTATAATAACCAGATCAATTGCTTAGTTAGTTATGTGACCCAATGGAATATACTAGTATATTCTCTTTTCTGAAATTGTTTAAAACCACTAAAATTTTTAATATTTCATTATCTATACATCTATACATATAAATAAAATTGGAGTGTCTGTTTGTTGAAATTGAAATTGAAATAACCGTTTTTTAGTATATGCATAGGAATATAGATACGGAACATATATCAAAATATCATCTTTGTCTGTCTGTCTGTTTTTTGTTCCGGACATTTCGATTTTGATGCTTTTTTTGTAGACTGTTGTAATAAGGAGTAACTTACTTTTATTTTAAATTATTCTTTTATTTAAAAAAACAAAATTAAATTCCAAGCGGAAGAAGTCGCGGGAACAGCTAGTTATTCATATATTTTTTCTTTGTTAGGAGATTGTTTTCCGGGGAATGTGTCACTAATAGACTATATAAAATATTTTGGTGTGTTGACTATCACTAACAATAACCTGATAATCGCTCGGTTATTTCTGCAGCCCTAGTACTGTAAAATCTTTTTTCTAATATAAAAGCCAGTTTACGTTGTCTGTATTTTGTTTTGTTTATAACGATGGCGTAGGTATTGATGTTAGAGGTTCACTGTTATTTAGATTTTTTTTGGAAGATTATTTCTTAAGCTGAGTCGTTATTTATTTATATAAAAAAAACATTTATTCAAAAGAGCAACACACAAGTTTTTTGCTCATTCTTCTTGTGACGAATCTATATTCTGAATGAGTGGTTGAATCAAAATATGACCATTCAGTTAAGTGCTTGTAATAAGTTTATTTCAATAAAGATTATTTCTATTTCTATTTCTTATAATGCCACTAGACAATGTAAAATATTTTCGTAACCCTAGTACCATTTTCAAATGTCATCATAGTAGTACAATAACTTCTCTAATAGTATAATTGTAAGTTAGTATTAATAGAAGTTACTATTATGCTACTATGCACTTAAAAAATATTGTAATATCTGTACCAAATTTTTTAAGAAGTGAGTACATGTTTTTGTACTCGATTAGATTATATATCTACTGATATGGATGTATTCGGGCAGGCGTTCGAGCCTCCACAAATACGGTTAGTGTCGTCACCCAGTGCTAAATAAGTAACATTGGTACAGTGCTTCTCAAACAGTGGAGCATGGATTATACCTGATTTTCTAGGTTTGCGTGGATACAATTGATACATTTAGATCAGTATGGTCAATATGTCAGGGTTCGAAAACGTAATAGAATTATTATAATAGAATAGAAAATAATTTATTCAAATAAACTTACATTAAAGCACTTTTGAATAGTCATTACATTTTTTAATCTACCGCTCATTCGGAAAGCTGTCTCATCACAAGAAGAACGAGCAAGAAACTTGCGTGTTGCTCTTTTAAATAATTTTATTATTACTTTACATTTTTAAGTTTAAGTGTGTGAATACAAACCACCAATTCGTACTAATTCCAATTTCAAATAATGGACGCCCAATGGTTGGAATTCGACCATAATTCAACATTCAGTAAGATAGACTATAGACAAATAATATTTAAGACAAACAATCAATTAAATAAAATGTTAATCTAATCTCAATTTAACCACAGAATTTAATAATAAACAATAGTATATGTTTAATGTTTCTTTTATTGATTTAATGTATATGTTTAAAATTTATATTATAACTAGTTTCTTTTATTGATTTATATATTGAATTTGATAATTTATTAGTTATTTTACTAAAAGTTTTATTATAACGTTTTCATTCATGCCATCTATCCATTTATATAAAAATTAGTTTCATTATATATATTGTGTGGCGAATGTTATAAATTATACATCTTGTTATAGCTGTCCCGGCAAACGTTGTTTTGCCATATAAATTAATAACTTTGTAAAAAAATAGGGGTTGATGATAGAAGGGTGAAAAATTAGGATTGTATGTAATTTTGTATGTTGTATCATAAAAAAATAGAATCTAAAAATTTGTCTAAAAAATAAAAAAATTAGGGGTGGACTACCCCTAACATTTAGGGGGATGAAAAATAGATGTTGGCCGATTCTCAGACCTACTCAATACGCTCACAAAATTTCATGAGAATCGGTCAAACCGTTTCGGAGGAGTATGGGAACGAAAACTGTGACACGAGAATTTTATATATAAGATAAAATGAAATACACGTCAATGAACGCTTTGAGAACCAGTGCACTAGATTGTTCTGAGCACTTAGTGCAGCAGTATCGCTGGAGGCGTGGACTTTGTTATATATACATATATGTGTGTATGTATATATGTTAAGTGTTTACTGGGCGGGTATAGACTTGGGGTCAATTGTTATTGAATGTCTAACGCTATATTTATCGTAGTCATTCACACGGTTAAGTTATTTTTATGTCGCACACCCATATTTGAAGGCCGCTCCGACCGTATCTATAGCGTAGTATATTACATGCATGTACATATATATATGTACGTTTATAATAGTTTAGTGTTAGGGAGTTGAAATTAATTAACCTTACTAATATTATAAATGTAGAAGATTGCGAGTATTGATGTATGGCTGGATGGATGGATGTTTGTTACATCCATCCATCCAGCCTACTCAATACTTTTACGCCAAAAATTACTAAATAGATTTAAATAAAATTTTACAATAATATAGCATAATAATAAAGATATATAATAATATTATAAATGCGAAAGTTTGTGAGTATGGATGTTGATTGCTATGTTACTCTTTCACGCAAAAACTGTATTGAACTGTTATTTTGGAATCAAACATTAGAATATATTAAATATCTCTCTACTCATATATATATATACTAATCTTCTCGTGTCTCAATGTTAGTTGCAATATTCCTCCGAAACGGATCAACTGATTTTGATCATATTTTATACTAGCTGTACTCGCGACTTCGTCCGCGTGGAATTTAACTTTATTTTTCTAAAATAAATGTATCCTAAGTTACTCTTTATTACATCGGCTACCTACCAAAAAAAGTCTCGTTAAAATCGGTCTAACCATTTCAGAGATTAGCCGGAACAAACAGACCCACAGATAGACAGACAAAAATTTGAAAAAAAATGTTTTTTTTGTGTATGTTCCGTATTTATATTCATATGCATGTAGGAAAAAACGGTTTTTTTTTTCAATATTTCAAAATTTCAATTTTATTTATATGTATAGATGTAAATTTTGTAGGTCAGAGAATAGGTTGTTATCTATTTTTTATATACCCCTAAGTAAGTATAAGAGAGTGTATATCCCTAAGTACATATACTAAGTGAGGTATAGAGTGGCTCACCCCATATTTGAGCGGCGACTATATATTCGGGATATTCTCAAAGACTATTGAATGGATTTTCATGAGTAATTGTTATGTGTTAGTTTGTTGAAATTCGCTCGGGGTGGTTCGCTATCATATATAATTGACTGTTGCCACTTATCGCCATTACCTTGTTTATATTCCACATACCTTAAAAAAAATTGCATGTGTATTTGAGGTACGTATTATGCTGTAACAGAACAGCAGAGAGGGTGGTCTTTCTGAAATGTAGACCGGTTTTTCCTTGGACAATTGACAAAGCGCCATCTAGTCCCAAAATAAGCAGAGCTTGTTTTATGGAAAATAGACAACTGATGTAAATACATAGATACTGTATATCAGTTGTAAATACATACATACTATACATAGAGAACGACCAGACCGACAAACCGTGTTTACACCGTGCAAGAATCGAATCCGCGTTTTGTCTCGTTAGCTGTTATTGGTTATCTACGTTCATTATTCGAGACAAATAAATATGATTATTATTATTATTATTATTCGTAATACAAATTTACAATGTGTTTGATTTAATTACATCAGAATGTAATAAATATGCGTAATCTCATATTAATAATACAAGACACATTCGAGTCAACCACTTAAAGATATATATAGAATAATTAACAATTAAAAAGTTGCTTAATGATTAATGCAACTATGTTAATGTACGGGGTGAATGATCAGATAATGTAGAGGGCGAGTACATTAGGTACGATTTTTTTATACTACGATAGGGGCAAACAAGCATACGGCCCATCTGATAGTAAATAGTTACCGTAGACTACGGACGCCTGAACCGTCAGGGATGTCGCGTACCTGTAGCATTGAGAAACCCAATCTCCGGAGAAAACCTCGGCAGGTAGTTCGTTAAATTTGAGGAAGCTCCTCTGAAACCGCAGTGTCCGAGACTACTTAGGTTCCAGCGCGTGGGTATGAATTCCCTATTGAAAGCGAGCGCTGCGATGGTAAAATGTAGCCGTGGACATCATGTCGAACAATTTCCAGAACATAGTTCGTTGTATATTCGGTAGAACACACAAAGCGATGCAGTCTCACTTCACGCTTAGTGCCTAGCTACCGCCATAGAGATCGGGATCATCAACAATTCTCATAGCACGGACATACATAGTTCAGTATCTTTTCATTGTATAATTATATGTTAACAAACTTTCATTTATACCTATTTAAATTTTGTTTAATGTCCTCTATGTGGCTACTTCAGTTTCACCTATTTCGCCCCAAAATTTATTTTTCCTACTATTCTGATACCGTTTGCCGTAGCTGGCCTTTTTAGCTTCACCGAATATTACGGGACGAGTGCAGATGGCACTACAAACACACGAAAGGACTTATGGAGGCTGAAGGCCATTTCCTGCTTGACGGATACGATTTTAGTCTGAGTGACTTAACTGGAGTGCTTTTCATCCGACTGCAATATGTGTTTCTTTTTTGTTTTCAGAATAAACAGCCGTACTTTCCGATCTTCGGCGAGCAGCACCCACGGCCGCCGCGCTCACGGCCTAAAGACGCGCAGGGCACGGTCCGCGCGTGTGCCGCCTGCCTCCACCACCTGCTGCACCAGTGGAACACCTATCAGGTCAGACTGCTGTTTGAATTTTGAACACACTCTTAGAAGTGGATCTTATTTCACAGGTTTGCGATATATAAAGCAGGTTATAAAACATGCGTGCGTTATAAACGCAAACAGTGAAGTTATATTGCACAAATCGCACTATTTGCTTGTTTTTTTTTATCAAATTTCGAAGTGATCACCGCACTGCGCCAGCCAGAAGCAGGACGCTGATTTTTGAAACTAAATCGGCGGGAAAATGATAATCGGAGGGATAATAAACCAAATGTTATGATTTTTTAGTCTGATGAAAACGTACGATATACGTGCGTATTTAACACACTCAATTCAATTACGTCGTTGCCTACGCCTAATTATCATAACGCATTTATATCGCAATATACTGTTATATGAATATTTGACATTAACACCAATTTTGCGAGATTAAAAAACACTATAAGTACGACCAAAGTATCAATATCTGCCTTCTTTGTAGATTTATTTTTTATGATTTACCTAGGTAGACTAAGTACGAGTAGTTCGCGTGTGCACCTCAGTCTCACCAATTTCAGTTGCCAAGAAGTTTGCTTTGCTATGTTTAAGTTGTGGGGTCTAGATTCGGCAGTAAAATGATAGGATAAGAGGCATGACATCTTAGTACTCTGGAATGACACCGCGTGTGTGGTGTCACGGGTGTCACGGGTGTCACGGGTGTCACGGGTGTCACATGATAACGTAATGTAAATATTTACTCGGGACAGTATCCGTGTTAGATCTTCACCAACATGCGGTGTTAATTGTTGGTGTCAACTGCTTATTGGGGGGCCGGCGGACATGTTATATTTATATCAAATATATTGACCTTTTCAGATAAATGTCAATGTACGTAACTTATAATTCCTAATTTCTGCCCGCGGCGTAGTCCATGTGGATGACATTAGAAGCTTATGTTATTTCACCCATAAATATTATGATAAGAGATCTCTTCACAGATTTGTTTTCTGTAGATCTGTTTGCCAATCTAACAAATATTAGATAGTTAACACAGTTCTATCTATATATTTTTTTTCAAGCTATTCTAAGGCTGTTGGCCGCAACAGACCTTTACAGCTTCACCGAACGATTAGGGGCGAGTGCAGATGATACTCTATACTTGCAGAAGGACTTATAGGGTGACTGAAGGGAAACTCCTGCCTGACGGATACGAGGCTAGTCCAAGGGCAGTCCCTGTTTGATTTGCACGGGGATCGAATCTAACACCCGTATACTTAGTGCTGGTGCTGTGTAAGTATAAAGATATCTCAAGGGTCAACAACGCGCACGTAAAACCGCTGGTGTTTCAGGCGTCCATAGGCTACGGTAACCATTTACCATCAGGGTAAATTTTGGGTCGTAAGCCTGATGCCACCATCGTTGTATAAAATATACCGGCAGTCAGTTGTAACTAAGTGATTGTATAGTTATCATTGTAGTGAACACTAGTAGTATTGATATGGTCCGCGGAATAACCCAAACATCCAGATACGGCACGAGAGGTCGCCTTGATAAATACCGGTTACTTACCCGAATATTGTGGTACGCAAGCATTCTTATATATTTGTACAGAATGTTGAAAAACAATGTAAATTATACTAAGACTTGGCGACTCACATAATTCAAATTCAAAATATCTTTATTCATGTAAGTCTATTACAGACTCTTATGATATGTCTACCGTCTACAAATCTACCGTCAGTTCGGAATGATTTCGAGATGAGAAGAACTTACAAGAAACTCTGCTTGTATTTTTTTTAATGTTGTACATATTTACAATTATACTATTTCATTTAAATTCAAATTTGGAAGAATATAGTGACCACCAGCATATGCTATATAAAAAAAAAAACAAAAAATATTTGAAATGGCTGGACTGATTTTGTCGGGACTTTTTTTGGCAGGTAGCTGATGTAATAGCGAGTAACTTCGGCTACTTTTATTTTAGAAATATATTCTTAAATTCCACGCGGACGAAGTCGCTGGTACAGCTAGTTCTCAACGGAAGGCAATAAAATCAATTTGCCTAATAAATTTTATTGACAAACACATTGCGAAACAAACGCACGTCGCCACAACATTATTTTCACACGATTTAAATTCTGTATCGTTATTTATCGATATATTATTGTAATAAGTAGTGATTAGTGAATGAATAATTCAGAGATCGATGCCGGCAAATGTATTAACATGTCGTCTAATAGCCTTACGTTTGTGACAATACAATAACGTCCTACTGGAGTCCTGCTCCCTGTAATAAGGGTGTATGTAACCGTATGGATAGACCGTAGGCCAAGCGGTTTGAAATAATAATAATAATAAACTTTATTCACAAATGCACGGTACAATTAAATATAGTTAGTCCTGGCTTTCGATATAGGTGAACCTGTGCAATGAAAGCCAGTTCCCTCTAACATTCTGTAAACATTTTTGTTACATCTGCAGTTGTGTACATAAAGGAATGAAAAAATAAACTTAAATACTTATGAATAAAAAAAAAATGTAAAAAATGGAATAGGACTTTTCTCTAAAATCTAAATTAAAAAGGCTATATTTTACTAATAATAATAATCTCAGGACAATTCACACAGCGCCATCTAGTTCCAAGTTAAGCTAGCTAAAGCATGTGTTACGGGGACACAAACAATTATACTCATACAAATGTTTGTGCCGTGCGAGGAAACGAACCCGCGATCATCGGACTTAAGCGGTGTGCTAGACCGCTAGACCACCGAGGTCGTCACTATTAATATTTTAAACGTGAAAGTTTGTGAGTATGGATGGATAGATAATGAGATGAGAGATGGATTAATGTATTTTTGGTATTCTTTCATGCAAAATAATAATAATAATAAATTTATTTACATCAACAGATATAGATGCATACACATTTTATAAGACAATATAAATTACAAAAAAACAGAGTATATTAAAAAAAGAAACAGATACAATATTGAAGTCTCAACATTACATTATGTCACTGCTGTCCTAACTAGGCCATTATAATGACCTGTATGAAGGACATCTAGTTACATTCCCTACGTGAAAGTTCTAGATATTAAATACTAGTGCTAACAATTATACTGCTGTTGTAAAAGCAACTGAACGGATTTTGATGGGACTTTATAATAATATACCTTATACATCAGAATAATACATGGGTTCTAAATTACATGCGGGTGGAACCGCGAGCGCAGCTAGTATGGCTATAAGCCTATGGCCTGGTAGGCCAAGCAGTTTGGTATAGGGTTTTATCGTAACTTCTCTCTAGAGTCTATATTGAAAGCAGTTCATAATAAAATATGTATAATAACTTTAATAGTAATCTAAGACAATTCTACATTAAAAAATTAAGACCAGAGACTGTGTAGACTAAAACTAAGCAGTCCGTTTACTGTGGGTATTAAATATCAACGTAGTTTTTATAAATACACAAAAACCATCTAGATTGATACGAATATATTCATTGACACAAATTTATTGAATCCCCATGGTATGAGGTTCTATTCTTGTTTGAATAGAGCGTCTTGACTACCGGGGTGTCATTCATTTAGGTATGTTTACGATAGTAATTGTCTTTTAATTTTTTCCTATTTTCCTCTTGCATTGGTTTGATGTACTCAGTTCTTCATATCGGCTGTTATGACATGTTGGTAATGAAATAGTGTAGCAACATTATGTATTCCCAATCCGTCACCACGCGGATATAACGCCACTTAATGCATAATATAAATGCAACATGCACACCACCTACGGTGACTAAACAAAGGTATTAGGCAATATCGGGCACTAATGGACTTTCACATTACATGTAAACATACACGGTAGCTACGTAGTTCGTAGAACTGTTTGACGATGTGATTACAACTAGTGAAAACTCAGATGTGACCCGCATCGCATGCTCGGTGGCAGGACCGTCCGCGCCGCTCCGCTCTCAGACGGAGACGTCAGTCGGCCGCGAAGTAACCGTGTGCACGTACGTCCGACACATATCTGAATACGAAGTAAGTTCAATCGTATCGATGGATATTTGAGTTGATACGTTATCGATTTGTGATTTCCTGATAAAATAATTTCGGTTGTACATCGAGTGTACGGCATCAGTGATAATGTTGGTCTGGGTGCGTGTACGCGATGTGGTACAAGGGCAAATATTTGGTGCCTATGTTGCGCGAGGTATCTATCTAGCTTACTAGTGATGGTGCTTATATATTATAGTGCTAACGTGGTGTTGTTGTTAAAGCAGGTTGAGACAAGGAATGGGATGCTGGAGCACATGTGCGCGAAACAGGACAGTGCGCCGGTTAACGGCAAGGTACTATGGATTTGTAATTTTGATACCTTCGTGAGTTTGTGGTTAGGTTGATACTTGAACGATACCGATTTGATTGTTAACAGTGGCTTCACTTTATAGCGTGGCATTAAATTTTGTATTGAATATATATTTATTTGGTAATTTGTATCATTTCGTCTTTTACGTTATAAAACTCTAACTCTTACAGACAAACAATCAAAGCTAATTTTAGCGAAAAAAGTCATAAGAATTCATACTTTAATGGTGATAATTTGCGTAGTAATTGATGGGAAATTTCATTTACTACACTTATATTTATTGTTTACAGTAGAATTAAAGCCAAAACCATATTTATAAATTTGTTTTTACAACGTGCTTCGCAATCAAGTGTAGTTAACGGCTACAGTAGCCTACGTGCACTCGAAGTGCCAAAGTTATCTCTGCCATTGCCGAGCCGGACTTGATGATTTTTAGTCGCAATATCTCGTTATTTTACTGAGTACCGTGAACTTGGGAGCATGCTAGCAATTCTTCCTCAATTATTCTTGTCGGCGAGACAGAGGTATCGCAAATGACTCGTCTTTCGATAAGTTTTTCTTTGGTCTCATGATATATGTCACCGCACTATTCGTAATTTTATTCTCTTCTCTTCACATTAACTACTACAAATTTTCCATATTTACAATTTGTAGTATAAGTA